CCACCTAGTTCACTGGAAGGCATCCACATTGGCCAGGGTGCTGGTGAGATCAAACTGAGTTCAGACCATTTACACGCCGGCACGCACGTTCGCAGCATTTACACGCGCGGCCCGGGTCAGTGAACTGACACGTGCGCACGTGGGCCTGCTCATATAACGTGCATGCACACACACACACACACACACACACACACACGCCTTTTCTCTGCTGCTGAACTCTGGTGGTATTAGCCAGGAATTTCTCTTGGATCCAGGACTTCATAAATTTGCTTCTGCTTTCCAAAACCCAGGCCCCTCCCTTCCTGTTTGAGCAGCCCCCGCCCTTCCCCCCATGCCACAAAAACCAACTTTCCTGCTTGCACCTGATGGATTTCACCATTTAAAATTTTTTTTTTCACTTTAGATCAAAAAGAAAAATGGAGTTTTTCCTGTTTCTGCTCCCGGAGCGGCGAGCCTGTTGCTACTAGCTTTCGCTCTGACATCGAAAGGGTTTGAAGTGGTCTCAGCTTCACACAAAGGACTCGGCGCTCAGCGCAGATCCCCATCCCACCCCCCTCGTTCCTTAACCCCCGGACGGCGCACGTTTGCATCTGCCGTGTGTGCACAGCTCGCTGCTCTCATGCCCCTTGCCCTAACCCTCACCCTCCGGTCTAACCCCAGCTCACCCTGTATAGCCGCACACCTGCCCCGCTCCTCTCCCGGTCACTCATTTCCAGCTGCCATGTGTCTGTTAAGCCCGACCCTGCACTAAACAGGCCGTGGCGAGTACGGGGAAGAGGGAGAAAGGCAAAATCTGTCAAGGGGATGATAAAGGACTCAACCAGCTACAAGCTGCAGGAAATTTCGGCTCTGGCTGTTTTCAGCTGACGCAGCAAAATCCATTTTCTTAGAGCAAGCTGCAACCCTCCCCCCTCCCGGCTCCGGTTATCGTTGGCTCGCAGTCGCGCAGGGAAACTTGCCAACTGTTTCTTTCTTTCTTTTTTTTTTTCCATTCTCGAAAGAAAGAAGGAATGAGAGGAAGAAAAAAAAAAAAATGGTTTCACGTTTGTTTTTCCATGAACTTTTTCAAGTCAGGAGACTCGAACCTGGCTCTGGATCTGCGCGCTCTCTCTCCCAATTCGGGCGGAGAAGGCTGACGTGGGGGAACGTGACACGAAAAGAGCAAAAAGCAGGCACGTTTGAAAAAAACAAAAAGAGGATGCTGCGTCAAGCTTTACAGGCGTGCGAGTGACACACGTGCTAAGCTACCACGGGCTTGGGCTGCGGCTCTCCCGCTCCGTCCGATGCCACGACACTCGTTGCAGGGAGAGCTCAGCACCGGAGAGATGAATGATAAATAACGCTCGGGGCATGGACAAGCCTCTAGCTGCTTTTTTCTGCAAGGCTCTTGGAAGTCTTTATTCTATCATTATCCCCACTTTACAGATAAGCCAACTGAGGCCAAGGGTAAGCAACGGTCGTGGCCCCAGGTCAAAGAGCTGGTTTGCAGCCCAGCCTGCTTCGAATCCCACCCCGCCGCGCTCTCCATCACTTGCTGTCTCTCCGCTGTAACGGCGAGACAAATATTTCTGCAAAGTGGATCTCGGCAGAGCCGCGGCAAGAGCGAGAATAAATAAATAGGCAGCTCGCTCCATCCCTCTCCTCTGTCACTTCATTTATACAGCGCCGACGCTTTCTCCGCAGTTCCCAGCGCAGGGCCAATTTTGGTCATCGATAGACCGTAGCCCCAGCCAGCTTCCCTGACATGCTGTCCCTGGTTTTCTGGCCAAAAAGTTCAAGCGCAACTTCGTTTTCCTTCCTCGCCCGTTGCCTAGGAACGCGCCTATGAAAATACACTTCTTTGCTCCTACACTCGACCACTTGGATGCCAAGAGCGGGGGTTTTCGTCCCTCCCCGTGCTCGGTCCTGGTTATTTTGTACACTCTCCCAGACCCAGACCTAACCCGGCCGGTTCCTCCCCACGTCCCGTTCCAAAACGCAGGTTGCAACGGTCTCGCTTGCAAAATGATCCCCTTAAACCACCAGGTCTCCTCTGAAAGGCCGAGTTCAGCCCCTGCAAGATGAGGTAGGAAGACACGACCGCTCTCCTGCTCTCCCCCCACCCCGACCCCCTTTCCCCGTCTGCAGGCTGGGCGCAACGCGGGAAACGAGCAGCGGGATGACAAGCGGCTCCTCTCAATGCACCTGCTGCGGGGCTGGGTTCTTTGGGAAGGTGGAGAAAGGCAGAGCAATCACCGCCTGGCTGCTCCCAGGGACACGCAGCGCCGGATGGCGGCGGGTGCCCTCTGTCTGCAAGTGGCACTGTTGTTACGCCAACGTGCTGGACCGGAGCGTGGGATATTTCGCATACTTTCAGTGTGACTGGATGGTTGCACAGTTACCGGCGTCCAAGACAGGAAATCAGCCCATATCTTAGCGTCATCGCTTCCCAGACCCAGTCCACATTTCCAAACGAGCCAGGAAGGCTTCTTTGCCTTCAAACGAGTCCAAAACCAACTGGACGTTTCCCCCCCACCTTTTTTTTTCCTTCCCAGGCAAATCCAGCGGGGTCTTTCTGTCCCGAGGCATAAATGAATCCGGCTGGTGCTTTGCAAAGACGACGCACAACGCAGCAGAAAGGGAGGGGGGCATAATTGAAGCAGCAAGATTTATGGGGTGTTAGAAAGGAGAAGCTGCGACCCGGCAGATCTCCGCCGCACGGATGCCGGGAGCAGCTTGGCACCGAGCAAATGACGGCTTGGGGGTTTTTTTTGCTTTTGCAAGCCGGAGTTTTCTTGCCAGCTCGTCCCCCTTCTCCTGGCGGAAAGGGGCCGGAAAATCACCCCGGCGGGTCCTACGGGATTTGCAATGTCTCGGGCAGCTGTCACCTGCGAACCTGGGCCTTGCTTTCTTCCCCTTGCACCTGTGCCCTTCCCCTTGCACCTGTTCCTCTCGCACCCCGGCTCAAAGGGGCCGCCTAGCGAGAGACCGCAACCTCCAGGGCAGAGCGACACCCGTCTTGTGGCCTGGGGTGTGTAGGGGGCATTTAGGGCAGGGGCTGGATGGCAGGGGGGCAGATGGGGCACTAGCTGCCAGTGGCAGGGATTAGGGGAGGGGGAAGAGGAGGTGGGAAGGAACCAGGGCAGAGGAGCGTAGAGCTGGGGAAGGGGATGGGGTTAGAGTCTGGGGGCTGGGGCACACGACTGCTGGGGGCCCTGGGCTGATTGAGTCTGCAGAAGGGAAGACCGAGGGGCACTGAATAGCAGCCTTCACCTCCCCACAGGGGGGCTGCAAAGAGGATGGAGCTGGACTGTTCTCAGTGGGGGCAGATGGCAGGACAAGGAGCAATGGGCTCAAACTGCAGCAAGGAAAACTGAGGTTGGATATTAGGAAAAACTTTCTCACAAGGAGGGTAGTAAAACACTGGAACAGGTTACATAGGTGCTGGAGTCTCCATCCTTGGAGGTGTTTAAAACCCAGCTCAACAAAGCCCTGTCTGGGATGATGTAGTTGGGGCTGGTCCTGCTTGGAGCAGGGGTTGGACTGGATGTGACCTCCTGAGGCCCTTCCACCCTCCTTGTCTGTGATTCCCTTATACCAGCCAAGGGGGTATCTTAATAAATGACCCTTTACAGTAAAGGTGCCCGTCTGGACTAGACTTCCTAAAGCGGTGCTGCAGTCCCCACCGTTGGGAGTCTTCAAGAGGGATCATTTGATCTCAGCAATATTCCTGCCCAGAGCAGGAGGGCTGGACTCGCTATTTTGTGGTCCCTTCCAGCCCTTGATGCCTATGACTGCTCCAACACAACCAGTTGTCCACGAACAGTGATTTCTGTGATGTCTATGACTGCTTCCACACAACTATCTGGCCACCAAAAATGATTTCTGTGATGTCTACAACTACTCCAACACAACTCTTCGACTATGAAAACGATTTCAATGCTGTCTATGATGGCTCCAAAGTATTGCAAGGTCCCTTTTCTTTGAGGTCCCTTCCAGCCCTTGATGTCTATGACTGCTCCAGCACAACTATTTGGCCACAAGCAGTGATATCAATGCTCTCTATGACTGCTCCAACACAACTTGGCCAAAGACTGGACAGATGCCTTGCAGGGATCATTTGATCCCAGCAATATTCCTGCCCAGAGCAGTGGGGTTGGGGACTTGCTCTTTTGAGGTCCCTTCCAGCCCTTGATGTCTATGACTGCTCCAACACAACTAATTCAAGGTCCCTTCCAGCCCTCGATTTCTATGACTGCTGCAACACAACCATCTGGCCCACGACTGGACACCTTGCAGGGATCCAGTGATCTCAGCACTGTTCCTGCCCAGTACAGGGGGGTTGGACGCGATGATCTTTCAAGGTCCCTTCCAGCCCTTGATGTCTAGGGTCGACGACTACCCCAACACAAGGATTTGGCCACGAAGAGCGCTACCAATGCCGTCTTCAGGGCCAAATCGTCGTGTTGCAGCCGTCCTAGAGTGCTATCAGTGCTGTCTAGGACTCCCGCAACCCCTGGATTTGGCCCCAGGCTGGACAGACCCCTCGTGAGGATCCAGTAATCTCGGCACTGTTCCTGCCCAGCGCAGGGGGGTTGGACTCGATGATCTTTCAAGGTCCCTTCCAGCCCTTTTGATGTCTAGGATGTCTAGGACTCCCACGACACACCGGTGTGGCCACGCAGAGTGCATCGGTGCTGTCTTTGTGACCAAGTCGTTGTGTTGCAGCCATCCTAGCGCACTATCAGCGCTGTCTAGGACTCCGGCAACCCCGGGATTTTCCCGCAGTGCTGTCTAGGACTCCCGCGACACACCCGGGTGGCCCCAAAGTATATCGGTGCTGTCTTTGTGACCAAGTCGTTGTGTTGCAGCCATCCTAGCGCACTATCAGCGCTGTCTAGGACTCCGGCAACCCCGGGATTTGGCCGCAGCGCTGTCTAGGCGTCCCGCGACACGGCGCGGTGGCCAGGAGCGCTGTCCACACGCACCCCCCGCGCCTCGCCGCGCCGCGCGGTACTCACCGGGCTTGGCCCTGTCCTTGTCCTTGTCCTTGTCCTTGTCGGCGGGGCCCTTGTCGGCCAGGCAGAGCCCGCGGCCGTGCAGCAGGGCGTGCAGCGGCTTGTCCTCGCCGGGGCGCGGCAGGCAGCGCAGCCCCTGGGCGCAGCGCTCCGTGTAGACGCCGCCGGGCTGGCCGGCCGGCCGGGGGCGCGGCAGGGCGGGGGCGGGCACAGCGACAGCGCCTTCTCGTCGCACGGCTCGCAGTGCACCAGCGAGCCCAGGCTGCGCGTCGTGCCCAGGCACACGCACAGCACCAGCACCCGCCGCAGCAGCCCGGCTCCGCGCGGGGCGGGGGGCAAGGGGAGTCCCTCGCAAAGGCTAGCTGCTTGCAACAGGGAGGGCTGGGGCCAAGCCCCTGCAGAAGGGAGAGTCGGAAAAAGGCTAAATCTTTGCAAAAGGGAGAGTCGGAAAAAAGGCAAATCCCTTGCAGAAGGGAGAGTCGGAAAAAGGCAAATCCCTTGCAGAAGGGAGAGTCGGAAAAAGGCTAAATCTCTGCAGAAGGGAGAGTCAGAAAAAAGCTAAATCCTTGCAAAAGGGGGAGTTGGGAGAGTCAGGAAAAGGCTAAATCTTTGCAAAAGGGAGAGTCAGAAAAAAGCAAATCCCTTGCAGAAGGGAGAGTTGGAAAAAGGCTAAATCTTTGCAGAAGGGAGAGTCAGAAAAAAGCTAAATCCTTGCAAAAGGGGGAGTTGCAAAAAAAGAGAAAAAAAAAAAGTGAAGCCTGTGCAGAAGGGGTAGCCCAAAACGAGGGCAGATCCCTAGCAGAAGGGATAGTCAAAAAAGGCAAATTCCTTGCAAAAGGGATAGCCACAAAAAAAAGAAAAAGAAGCCAAATCCCTTGCAAAAAAAAAAAAGGCAAAAAGGCAAATCCCTCAGCAAGTCTCCTGGGAAGGGGGCGTGCAGAGCAAAGCCTGCTCCCCCCGCGGGGCAGGTAGGTCCGGAGAGGTGGGCTGCGGGGCTGGGCCGGGGCCGAGTTTACCTCTCCCCTCCTCTGTCTCTGTGCCTCTCTGTCTCTCTCTTCCAGATTTAAAGTTGCTGGCAGGGAGGAGGTGGGGTGCAAAGTCTGCAGGAGGAGAGTCAAAAAAAAAAAAGGTGGGAGGAGAGGGGATGGAAAAAAAAAAAAAGGAAAGAATAAAAAAAAAAAAAGGAGAGAGAGAAAGGAGTGAGAGAGCGAGAGAAAAATCCACTTTGTAGATCTCCCAACACTTTTCCCCTGGAGAAGTTTCTAAAGAGACTGAATACAGCAGAATAGGCTGGCTTTTAAATAGCCTGCCCCTGGCCGCCTGCCAGCCCCTCGCTGCAATTTGAGATCCCAATGACACCTCAGTCTGAAAGGGTGCCAGTAACCAGGGCAATATCAGTGCACGCACAAGGCCTGGGGGTGGGGTGAGCGGCTTCTGACTTCCAGGCTTCAGACCCCCCCATGGGGCAGAAATCAGCCCTAGTGGGATGAGCGCGGAGGAAAAGGGGCCTGTTCCCCCAACTGATGTGCTCTCCCCGGCGGAGGAAGGCAGGCGTGCAGTTCAGCCCAGGGCTTAAGAAAGGGGTTTGGTCTCGTGGGCTCTGAAGTTGTGCGTTTGTGCAGTTGTGCGATGGAGGCAGCACGTGCTAATGCAATGGCTCGTGCCTTGGTTGGGGCCTCGAGGGGATGGTTTGGGGTTTGCTGAGCTGCCCCGGTGCTCGCGCCCGAGGCTTCATACGACGGACCCATTGGCGTGACCTCAGGGAGGGCTAGGCAGGCGCGCTACATCCCCCGTCAAAGGGAAAAGCTCGCGGCGGCGTCTGCAGGATGCCAGAAAACGGGGTGGGGGGGCTTGCGCCAGGTGGAGCTCAAGTCATCTCAGGCCTGCTTTGCCTTTTTAACCCCCTCACCCTAACCGTAACCCTGACCCTAATCCTCATTATCCCAGAGGCCTCCGTCCTGGGAGCACGCAGGACAAGCACCCCCCTGCAGCCTGGACTCCTCCAGCCCCGGTGCACGACAACGACATGCAGCCGTTTAAATAGATTAAAAAGCAAATCTTCCGGCGTGCACGGTCCGGTCCCGAACAGCTCGCAGCAACCCCGAATGCAGAGGAGCTGGCTCTGCTCTCGCTACCTGCGTTGCGAGCTAGGGCTGGGGTGTTGCCTTCCAACCAAGGGAGAAACGGAGGGATCGGCCCTTTCTGCAGGAGGTTGAAGTGAAATAAAGTCCCCTCGTCCCATACTCACACATTTTGTATGTCTGAGGGGGTTTTTTTTTTCTCCCTGAGCTCCTTCAGAAAGCCGGCTGCATTGCATGGATTTTGCCACTAGAATGCACCCTTATCTATGGTAAAACACTGGGGCCCGGAGACTTAAAAAGTCTTAACTCTTTTTCTGCCAACTTTTCCTTGAAATGCTCCTTAGAGGCCTCTGGGCTTCCTTGGTGCAACCTCCCTCCTGCCTGTACCCAGGTGTGGACGGTCTGACCGTATTCTTCTTCCCTCTGCACCATGAAGCTCTCAAATGCTGAGAGCAATCAGGACTCGTGGCAGAGGTGATCTCTTTTATGTGAGCAACTAGCTTTTTGCAAAAAAAAAAATGGCTTTAATTGTGAGCTTTCAGGCACAGCCACCCTTCATCAAGCATCGGAGAAAAGATCGTAAAAGTTCTCCTGGGTAGAAGTGCTGAGGGCTTTCCTAGCATTGCTGGTTGTAGCCGTGTTGGCCTAAGGACATAGGCAGACTTCGTTCTTTGGGTAAATGTGGTATCTTCTATTAGACCAAAAATAGTTGGAAAAAAATTGTTCTTTGCAAGCTTTTGGGTGCATGTTTCCTTTTAAATGACCTGCATCTTCCTTTAGGCTACAGTGACGTCCCCAAGTGATAGGCAGCTTAGAAAGACCACTGATTTTTCATGCATGTACATAAGTATACATCTATGCATATGCATACAGGGATTTTAAAATGGTTTCTGCACTGATACTTCTGCTTTTATGGTGTATTAGCTACATCCTGCCTTTGATTTTTGTAAGAATCTTCTCTGGATTTTAATGTGGGGGGGATTGCATGGAAGAATAATACTGGTATGCATAGCCACTGTGCTTTTCCCCTGAGGATATTAAAGCAATGATCTCAAAGGGAAGAATGGTGAGGGTGGGAGGGCATTTTCCCTCGTTAAAACAGGGAACCTGAGGCATGCAGGTATCAAAGAGGTGCAGTCTCCCTCTCCAGCCCCTGCACAATGCATCGTTAGAGCCGGAGTGGGATTAAAGCGTGGCCTCCTGTCCTGCCAGGCTGCCTTCCACGTGTCCCTTGGGGTGGGGACGGGTGACATGCACCGGGGCAGGGATGCAAGCTCCCCTTCTGCAGGGCTGCGCAGCTCTCTCCCCCCCCGCCATCTCCTGCTCGAGAGGCCGTGGCAGGAGGGAGCCGCCAGGCCTCAAACCTTTAGCCATACGCTGATGCTTCCTGCAGCCTCTTGACTCAAAACTTCTTTCCCCAATTATAAAAGCAGCCTCTGTGCTGCGGGCTCGGGTGCCTGCCGGGGGTATTAAATAGCCGGCTTGTCAGGAGCTTTGACAGAGTTGCCAGTTGAATGCCTGGCCCTTGGAGTTTGAGCTCCTCTCTCAGGTTGTCAATCCGGCCTCTTTCACCAGCGCTGCAGAAACTATTTCACTAAAGAAGGGGGGAAAAAAGGGAACTGGGCAGATAGCAGCACAGGGCTGTTCATTAGCGGCATCGGACCCTGCCACCAGCCAAAGATCAGGTTTCTCCTGCCTGGTGCTTTTCCAAGGGGCTATCGTGAGAATGCCTTGCGTTTACGTAACCCTCGTCTCCGGGCCGAGAGCATGCAGGTGACAGCTCGACTCTGTTTCTGTTAGCATCTCCTCATAGCCTTCATTTCTGCCTATCCTCAGCTTTACTCGTGGGCTCTTTGTTAGAAACCCCCCCACATTTCTTGGAAAACACTGTTTTTTTCCCCTCTCTCGGCTATGTTGCACCTCGTTATGATCCTTGCTGACATGGAAAGAGGCCGTGGCTTTACAAGAGACGATGGAGAAGCATCCCTTTGGCCCCTCCAATGCATTTTAGAGCCATTTGGAAACCTAAGCAAGTTCAAGACATCTCAAAAGATTGAGAGATGACTCACAGATATGGGCGAGTGGTTTCTTTTCTTTGTCCTCAAGGAGCACTGTGGATTGGGCTTGGATCCAGTACGTAGGAGAGGGACACGGCAAGTTCGATAAACTTCTTTGTGCGATTGGGCAGTGAAATCAGTCCGCTCGCCGTACGAAACCTCGGCGTGGCAACACCTTCGAGATGCGAGGGGAAGAAAACCCACCCCATACCAAAAGTGAAACTCGCTGCCTGAGGTTCGTTGACTAATCGGAGAGAAATGCCAAAAAAGAAAAAGGAAATGGGCAACAAACAAGGGATTATGAACTCTAAATTATTTTCACTTTTAAGATGACTGGGTTTCTGTATCATGGGCAAAACATGCTCTCTTCCCATCCAGCATTTTTCTCTTGACAGTGTCCTTTTCTCATTTGCAATCATAACAATAATTTAAGAAACCGCTGCAGTTTAAGCAACTTTAAGAGCAGCTCCGTGCAAAGACGGCGAGTGGCAGAGCACGGGCTGCAATAGTGGCGGCGAGGGCTAGGTGGCATACTGCCTCCAAGGACTTTCAGGCCAGGATGAATGAAAGGATCTCTCCAGCAGCTTTCTGTATCATTAAAGAAGAAAAAATAAACCATCCAGGAGTTTTAAAGAGGAGATAGCATTCATATTTTGCTTTCTCACGTGCCTCTTGGGGGAACTGGTTTGAAAGCACTTGTCAAATATGAGCCCCCCCCCCAACTCGAGATCAATACACGGGCGTTTCGAGTTACCGTCTCTGTTTTGGATGATTAAAAGTCGACGGACAGGATTTTCTTCAGTGACTAGTGATTTTGGTTATGGGAGTATGAGAGCATTAGGTCTGATTTTGCAGAAGGAGCTACGTACCCAACCTCTGGAAATCGGGTCCTTCTTCGGCTGTCTCGGACTGGGACCCCAACATCTCAGTCCCTTTCAGAAATCAGGTTTTGGGTAAGTTCCCATGGCAAAAACTGTTCAGGGGTCAAACGTTGTGACCCTTCAGCGAGCAGAGTTTGGCCTTGAATTGACGGGAACATAGCACTTGCTATCTAGCAAAAAGGCTCTGGTGGTTTTGCGATTTTTACTACGGGCCTTGAGTAT